ATATATATATATATATATATATATATATATGATGCCTGGCAGCTGCTGGGGTTCAAGGAGAAGGGCTTCATATAGGCATTACTTTAACAGAAAGTCGTAAAGGGGACAGAAGAAATATGAGCGCAACGGATGAAGTGTCAGCCTTTGAAATACTCCCTTTTTATCCAGCTGTGTTGTTTTTCTCAGCCCCAAATGAACACACACCGATGTAGTTGGGCCCTTCGTCTTCCTCACTAATTGGCATTTTGCACTTAAAATCGCTATAGTTGTCATTTTCTTAGGGATGTTTGCCTATGCACATTACCGTGGGGGAGAGAACACACCGTAGCCACGGTGTGTGTGCGTATGTGTGTGTGCTGGGGTTTCACCCTTGTATGTCTAATGCAGTCCCCTACAACGGAGGAACGAATTGTAGAAACAAGAACGGATTCCGTTTTTTCCTTTTTAAACAAACAAAATTCGTCTTGTGGAGGCGAAACTTCTGCCGAAAATGATCAAACTTGCAAAAACAGTTCCTTAGAAGCCTGAAGTGCCATCAGTTCCCGTCCGCCAGTGCTTAGTTAGAGGGCATGAGGGGAATTACTGAGGAAGAAGTTATCCTTCTACAAAGTAAATTAAAAACAGTTTTATCCTGAAGGACTATTACGGGGAATAATAGACCATTTCAATGTTTCTGATCCTCAGTCCTTCCGTCCCGTCCCATGGTGGCCTCCCGCGGCAGCCACGAACCAGCACAGCTATGGGCCTAGGAGGCTCGTTTAATTTCAGAGAGGTTTGTACAAAACAAAATAAACGAAAATCATTAAATTAAATTGCTTTTCTGTACTTAGTCGGCAGAAATGATTAGATGCATATACGTATTTCACACGCGCACAAGTGGTGGGCGATACAGGTTGTATGCCCGGCACGCCAGTTCAGCTACGTCTCGTGTGGGAGCAAGTATTTCACATCTAGAGTTTTTTATCCTTTCTTCTTTCAATTTTTTTAATTTTCTCTTTTTAAAGCGGGTCTTTCTGGATCAAGTGCAAACCACAGGTGTTTCAAACAGCGATTGATCCGCCACACGAGTCAGTCACTGAACTGCCCACAGAGCCTTCGCCGGCGTGCAAGTTTGTGCATTTCCGGGATTGGTTTTTTGTTTTAATCGTGAAACTCCTTTTACTTTGTCTTTGATGTATCTTTCAATGAAAGCCACCGAGGAAGACAGTAGGGGGCCACTGGTTTTGGTGCCTGTCCAGCACGAGCACACCTGTGACTGCGCCTTTCAAGACAGCCCAAGAACCAGATCCTCCTCTCCTGACTCCCTAGTAGCTGCTGAACGTCATTTAGTAGCCTTTGAAAACTCTGCATTAGCTGCATGCAGATACCTAACTTCTCGCAGAAGTGCCCCTGTACTCCAAGAAATAAACCCTCTAAACTCGAAACCCCCAGCCGGCTCTTCTGCAGCTGCAGACCGACAGGCTGAGCCAAACTGTCTGCAAAGCGGTCGCTGCATAAAGACAGTTAGCATGCATCCCGACGGCAGTTGCTCAGAGACACGGAGACAGAGGTGGAGGGACACAACTGCAACACAACCGGCGGCAACGGAAACGGCGACACGAAGCAGGAACCTGGAAACAGCAGGAAAGGCATGCCGTGTATTCAGCTGCTCAACTCGGCATACAGATGCCTCTGAGGAGGTCGCGGGACGATCCTTGCCCTCTGAGAGTGGCCGTCTTGGCTTCGCTGCTGTGCCCAGTCATTTGCTCGCCTTTATTCTGTCTTTAGTTGGCGATCAATCGGCGGAAAAGGCTGCTGTTTCCCACGTCTGCCGTCGCTGGAGGGAAGCAGCGGGGCGTTATTACATGTGAGCACCAGCAGCATCGAAACAAACAGCACTTGCGCTGAATCTAAAAGGTCGCCTTGGTGCAGCCTTGTGCAACTATTATCTAGGCTCCTCTACCGCTACTTCTACTTTCTGTGCTGCTGATACTGCCGTTCTTCTTGCTGCGGCAGCAGTAGGACATGTGAAGGGAGGCTAGCTAGGCTGCCTAGTCTCTATGTGTGAGTGTGTTTGCGCTGCAGGTGGCGTTCGGTGGATGCGTCTCACCGGCCACTAAGCTCTCTGTCTGCTTCTGTGAGATTAAGTGGTCATCTCAGAAATCTCTGGCATAGGACAGAGACACTCATCCTTGCAGACGACAACACAGCGGAGGCAACTGAACTGCTGCTGCAGCTTGCCAATGCCTCATGCAGCAGCGGCACCAGAATCAGCAGAAGCAGCAAAAGGTTTAGCAGTGTTAGTTGCCGTTGTAGAGCCGGCAGCAGTAGCAGATGCAGAAGCAGCAAGAGGGGAAACAGCATCAGCAACAACCGCAATTGTGGCAAAAGTGAGGCAGAGGAGGCACCGGGAGCCCGAAGTTGGACACTGCCGTGTCTGAGGCATCTGAGGATATACAGCAGCATGGGGGGAGGCTACATCAGGCACTGTGAGCCCTCAACCCTTTCTATCTCCCTATTTGTTATTTGCATTTGCCTCTCTGCCTCTTTCGCTGTACAGTTGCCCGCCTGCCACTCTTTTCTGTTCTGCTCTGCTTTTCGTCTTACTCAATCTGTATGTCTCCTAGTCGCAAGCCATCTCAACTGCGGTATTAATAACTTACACATTACAACTTCTTTTTAAATTCGATTGTTTCTCTTGTTTTCCCGTAAGCCATTTCCTATGCATGCGCCTAACCCTCTCGTGCCTGGCTTCTGTCCATGGATTTTGTGTGCATTCATTGTGTGGGTTCTCACACACACACACAGTAATGCCGGGGTTTGTGTATTTTGTCTTCTATGTCTTTGACTGGATTTTTCTCCACTAAGCTGGTGTTCAGCGCCTCGTTTCTGCGCTGTGTCTTTGGGAAACGTTTTCCGTTGCTGCTCTTTCTGTGTGCATTTGCGCCACAGCGATACCCCAAGATGTATTGGCTGAAGCAGACGCAGCTCGGCGGCCTTGTGGCTTAGCTTCTCTTCATGCAGGCGACGGATATCGCAGAAACAGCAGCAGCTGCAGTAGAAGCGGCCTGCAACATCTGGAAGAGCTGGTGCTGGATACCGTAGTGGGGCCTGAGCTGCTGCTGGCCCTCCGAGGCAAAACGCCTAGACTGAAGACGCTTATTATAAGCCGCCTCAGCGAGAAACCCAACAGCAGTTACCAGGCAAGATACGAACTAGCAGGAGTATCGGCATCAGGAGGAGAGGAACCCGCAGAGGAGCATGTGTCTGCTCTTGAAGCATTGCTACTACTGCTGGAGGAGCTTCCTCCACAGCAATTGGCTGTCTTTGGCTTCGGGAAAGGCTTAGAACTATCGGGGGGCGGCTTCGGCGCCGGGAGCAAAAGCATTGGCAACAGCAACAACAGTGCATGCAAGTTTCCGGAGGGCCTCAGCGGTCTTCGGGCTAGGTTACGGGGGAGAGGAAGAGAGGGAGACAAAGAAGAAGCGATAGGAGATGAACTATGCTCTTTGCTCGCATCCAAACACCAGGAATCTCTCCGCGCACTATGGGTAAACCAAGTCAAAAGAAGCTGGATTGCCCTTCGGTCATTCGTTTATGTATGGTGTAAATACAATTTATTTTCTTGAATCAAATTGAGATGAGAGCACTTACGCACACGCCACCTCTGTTCACTCCCTAGAATAGGTGTAACCTGCGCATACAAATTAGACTTACGTATACAGTGATGTATTCATGGCTTATATTGCTTTAGTTGGCCATGCAGGCAAGCACAGCTGGTAGAGCTGCCGTTCTTTGGTGCGTGCGCTTGCTGCCGCTCCAGTTGCTGTTGTTGCTTGCTGGTGCTATTTCATGCTGCTGGCTGCTGTATTCTTGTTTTGCAGATGCCGGACATTTGCACTTCGCTCGAGGCTGCAGGGGACCTCCTCTCTCGTTGCCGCAATTTGAATGTCTGTTCTATCCCCGGGGCGTCGGTGCTGCATCAACTCCAGTGCATGCTGGGAAGCGGCCGCCCTGTGTGCGGCAGCTCGCCAGCATCATAGTTGCTTAGCTGGTTACTTAGCTGGATAACTGGCTAGCCATGCTCTAGATAGCTAGCTAGAAGAACCTCGTCTGGCGCCATCGCTCGGAGGAGGAGGGAAAAGGCGTACCTGCCTGGATAGTCGTTATCTACACCACCAGCAGCCAGAAGAACTGTAGCGGCAGCAGCAACAAGAAAAGTAGGGTCCTGCACAAGTGCCCAGCTATTTGGCTAGGTTTGGGGCCTTATTTGCATCTCAGTTGTTCGACTGTTTATGCTGTTGGCGTAATTCGTTTTTTTGAGGGAGGGAAGCAGCACGCCCCAATGCCTCTGCGGTTCTCTCTCTCCTTGAATCTGTTTTTTTCCGACCGACAACGGGGGACTTACTGCTAGTTTTAGGATTCACAGTTTGCGGCTGTTTGGGAGAGAAGTGTTTATTGCAGAAACCCCAAGAACCGTAGGGGTAGCCTGAATTTCCTTGCCATTGCAAGCTGCCTCTAACCTTTGCAAACGGCTGGCGTTGCGCAGTGCTACTAAAAGCGCTCGAGCACAACACTGCATGCGTGTTCTATGCCTGTATAGAGGACACGGGGGTTCATCGATGCACCCACGAATGCATCTGTCGCATGACCCCTAACATGCAAATGCATGTACGCTCGCATATGCAGGTATATATATATATATATATATATATATATATATATATATATATATAT